CACTGGAGTCAGAGGGTAAGTCCTCGACTACCCTGTAGGTTTCGCTAGCATGCTCTGCACTTGACCTCTACAAAACATAAAAACAATGATCATTACTTTCATCATACGATGACAAGTATTGCTATAATACAAAAATAAACTGATATGCTGTCAAAATAACACTACAAATTAAGTATTTTCAAAATAACAAAGTTTCAGCAATACTACATATTGTCGTCAAAATATAGCTAGCGATGCATGATGTCCAACTTAGTGGACACATAATTACTTACAAATTTCTAATAACACAGCATCAATTCTTGGAATTTATAAAAAATATAGAACTCCTTAATTGTTACTTGATGTCCCCATATTTTTTTTACCTGCAAGGATCGCCTAGAATAGAAGGAATGAGCAGATATTCCTCTCTTGCACGACCCATGTGCTCCTCTGTCGGCCATTTTGTTTTTTTGAGGAAAAAAAAGTCACTTGCAAAGGCTGACGAGTAGGTGGCAATGTGACAAGTGGCAGGATGATACATTAGCGTCCACTGTAGTAACATATGTGCAAATGTGACATTAAAACATGTTCATTTAAGAAAAAACAACCATTTAATAACTGTCCACTGTAGTGACCACTATGCATGAAAGGGTTTTAATATTCAATCGGAGTTAACTGTGAACATAGCCGCAACAAATCTCTAATATGTCGGCAAACAAATAAGGGACCTTTGGTGCGAAGCATACTCAATTTGTGCTAACTCCTTTATTTATAGACTCGCAGATATGCACACTCTTTCTGAGATGATGAAAAGTTTCTTGTTTGTGTTATTTAGTTTCTATCCCTAATTAGAATTACATTTAATTAGTATAGAGGCTCAATATAGACTAGATAAAAAATTTAACAATTAACACCACAACAATAAATGTCCCAGTGAAATGTTGAAAGCATCATAAATGTAAATGCAATATTAATGTACAATCAGATCATGAAAAAGACAGAAAATGAATTTTCCACTTAATGCCTTAAAATACATAATATCAAATAATTAAATGTATTTTTCATATAAATTCACTTAAAAATACATATAATTATTTCTTTTTGTGTTAAACAATTCCATGGCTTTTTAAAAAAATTGTTTAAATTGTTAATTTGTCCTCTCTTATTCAGTGGATGGGATTTTTGGCAGACTTTGTTGAGAACCTCATTTCTGATTGGCTGCTTCATAAATACAGTTTGGCTTCAATTAAAGTGTCGACATTGTGAATTAAGAAATCTATTACTTTTTCAGTATCAAGGTATATTTTATTGTTAAGTTTGCAATTAAAGCTAACTGACTAAGAACAAATATTTCCATCAAATCACTGATATTTAAGACAAACTAATTTTATTTTATTGAACTGATACAATTTATTTGCTGACATTTTTCCTGCTGGAAGGTGGATTTGGCTACAATCCTAATCTTTTGCAACCTCCACTTTCCAGGGTTGCACTAGCTTAATCTCTATCCAGTTTACTGATTCCTGCAGAAGAAAAGGTTTCTCACAGCATAAAGCTGCCACCACCATGTTTGTCATTGCGATGTAGTTCAATTTCTATGTCAGAACATTTTGTTACACTGTTATCTTTGTACCATGTGTAGTATATGGCAAACTGCAAACATGTCTTTCAAATAAGACTTAGACTTCCTTTATTGTCATTGCAAAAAAAAACACAAGGTGAATATTGACAACGAAATGTCGATTACTTGGCTACCAGTGTAATAGAGCTAAGACCTTAGTCCTGCACAATAAATATGTTTTCTAAGCATAGAAAATAAGCATTCCTCTTGCAATTCTAAACCACATATCAGATTTTTGTGGTGCAACTTCTCTAAAAGTTTATTGCTGATGTTGGACAAAAGTTTTAAAAATTAAAGAAAGAAGGGACATATAGCACCTATAACATCTGATAATGTCAGAAAAAACTCACAATGAAAGACACTATTTGCAACAAACACTCTCTTAGGGTGATACTAATGCTTTTTAAGTGAATATATTTGCGTTTACAAATTAGTCTAAATAATACTAATATTTGTTTTATTGCAAAATACAGTCCCAACTGTGTTTTAATGCGCATTCTTTAAGCATTGAGGTAAAAAGGCTGTCTCTTCTTCCTTCCTATTCCTAGAGTCCCATATTTTTAAAGTTTTGTATGAAAATTCCAAACAAGTTAGGCACAAAGTTGTCTCTTGGTGAGTTACAAGTCATGGTGGTGTTATCAAAAATATGCAAATCTGAATGTGGCCTTAGAGCATCACTAGTCAAGAGAGGGCTACCCACCAAAACCCAAAGTGGAAAAAGAGGGCATTAATCAGAAATACAGCAGAGAGATCAGAGGTAACCCAGAAAGAGTTGTAGAGACTGGAGAACCTGACCTCAAAAAGCCCTTCATAGAGGTGGACTTAATGGAAGGATGGCCAAAAAACCATCGGCGTGGTGATTAAAATATGACTGCCCGTTTTAATTTTTTAAAAGGCATCTAAATTACACCCCAAATGGATGAAGAATGGTGCTCTGGTCACGTGAGACTAAAATATTGGTTTTTGGCCACCAAGAAAAATGCTACAATATGTCCCATCCCCACAGTGAAACATGGTGGTTGCAGAGTCATCCTGTAGGAATGTTTGAATCATACTTGTGTCAATCTCCCTGTGATTTGAGAATGGGAAACAGAATGATCTTCCAGCAAGATGACAACCTGAAGCACACTGCTAAAATAACACTGAAGTGATTTAAGAGGGTATTTTTGCAGGCCACTGTATAACATAGGATTCTTTGCTTTGTCTGGCACAATGTTACATTGCCTTAAAACCAACAGAGCATAATGGTTTAGATTGCTGTCATCATCATACCAGCATTAAAACGTAGTGGTAGTGGTGTGATGATCTGAAATAGCTTTTTTTTCAGGACCAGGATGACTGACTGTACCTGGTGAAACCATTGATTCTGTTTTCTCCCAAAAAAAAATCAATGAAAAAATCCATCCATCAGTTAACAGAGTTAACAGCAAAATGATGCAAACCACACCAACAAAACCCCTATCCTATCTGTATTTTCCCTCAAAATAGAAAATGTAGGTTTGGGATGAGCTTTGCAGAAGTAAATGTACACAATCAGAAAAGCTTTATGGCAGTTGTTGCCAGGAAGTGTGATACAAACAGCAATAACATTTCTGGGGCATGTATGTATGGTTATCTATCTTTTTCCATGAATAAATTACAATATCATCTGCTGATTAAGATTCTCAGTCATCCAGGTCATTCCGTAAAAGTTCAAAAAATATCCACTGGACTTGACCAGGAAGCTTTCTCAAATCAAATGAATTGAGAAAGCTTCCTGGAGAGGTGGCGAAACATCTTCAAATCTGGGAAACCAAGTCCAGTGGATATTTTTTTAACTTTTACGGAAATACAATATCATTAGAAAAATATAGATTTTTTGTATTTACTCAGCCTATGAACAATTTTTCTATGATCTATAGAAAAAAAAGTAATGATGTATCAGATTGATATGAGAAAAAAATAAACAGCACTGCAATCATTAACCTTTATATGCATAATAATCAGTTTTTAGCCTAATATGAGAAACTTTTAGAAAAAATAAATCCTACATAGACATAGACTATAGACTAAATGTTGCACCTGTTCTTCTTGCTCCTAAATCTATTTACTGTTTCTCTCCATGCCAGCACCATGGACAGAGTTTGCTCCCCGAGGCACATGGAGGCCATATTTCGTGACACTGGATGACAAACACCTTTTATGAGATTCATATCTTATTCAACCTCATAAGATATTATACAACACGATCAGGTCTACTGATAGTGTTATCACTGTGACCGGCTCTTGACAACTGTGATAAAAAAGGAAAAGAAAACCACAACAGTGTGAACCTCCCAGATAGCATAGGAAAAAAATCAGCTTTATTTACAGAAGAAAAAGACCGTGATTGTGATTTTGAGCATTCTCATTGCTATTTAAAGCATTGCAGTGCATCATCTGCGTGCAAAACTAATTGTATTCCACGCTGGAGGCAGGCTGCCTGTGGCTTTGTTCAGGCCTGTCAGGGAAGGGTGGCTGCAGGGGGTCTCTATGAAGAAAAGCCCAAGTATGTAAAGAATGGCCTGAAATACAGTCAGCCCACTACTTCAAACTAGATGCAAATTAACAGATAGCTGCTGTTGTTTGTCTGTACTGCCTGATTAGCCAGAAAAATAGTTTATGTTGCTGTTTTTGTTTTGTGCAGACTTTCACTGACCTCCTTGCGTATTCAGGTGTGCTTGCACTGTGTTTGAGTTGCAAGCAAAGAAAAACACAGGGTGACAAGGAATGTTGTGCCTCCCTGTTAAAAAACACTGCATTCTTTTCACAGATCCCAGTGATAACATGGTTCTTGCCGTCTCTGAATAGCAGGTAAACTCATTATTGATGTGAAGCGGTGAATTCCTGAGCCATTCATCCATACAAGGCCTCCTTTTGAAGCCAGAACTGTGTTTGCTTGACACACAATTGAATCACACATGTTCCTCTAATGGGATTTTGCGTTCCTTTGAATTCTTCTTTTTTTTTTTATTAGTTACTTTATGTATTTTTTTTCTTTTTAGAATATTGTTTTTGAATTAAAATTTGTAATACAAGATTTAGGAATTCTGAAGAAGATCAAACTTAAATAAATCTTATTTTTATTCATTTTTTATGATCTCTTGCATTTTCCATAACAAAAACAATACAAAATAGTCATATGGTTACTGAAGTAATAATTCTGATATATAATCTTTATTTAAAAAAAAGAAAAAAAAGAAATTGGTTATATGAAAGCAAACATAGCATGCATCTCCCATATATATCCATGCATGTACAGTCTTTCTTTCAAAGCTGTGAGTCAGTCGCCTCTGCTCCCACACACTCCACATCCAGATTTAAATATAATCCGGTAGCATCTCCATCATCTCCGATCCTCCACATCTGTTTCCTCTGGGTACCTGCAGAGCTGGGGCATGTTGTTTTTTTTCCAGCTTTCTATTTGCAGGAACAAACAGAATATGTGGCCTTCCCTGATCGGACACATCTCTTAGCAACCCCTTTCTGCTGAAGGAGTTTCATTTGTTCAGGTGCTCGCCTTCTGCTCCCTCTTTCTTTCCCCCTCACTATCACTACTTCAGGCGTTCTCCTCCTCAGCCTGTGGCAACTGACCTCCGCCTGAGTGCCCTGCAGCCAGTGCTTGCTTTGAATTATTGGCTGCAGCTCTGAGAGAGAGAGAGAGAGAGAGAGAGAGAGAGAGAGAGAGAGAGAGAGAGAGAGAGAGAGAGAGAGAGAGAGAGAGAGAGAGAGAGAGAGAGAGAGAGAGAGAAAGACTGAATGTCAGAGGGTCAAAGTACGAATTAACAAAGTAAAAAAACATGTGACTGTTTCTTTTTCCTTTTTTACGTATACTTTCTTAAACTCACCTCAAGATGTTGAGCATGTCAAGACGAGGCCTTTTCTCAGACTGGATTTCAGGGCTGAAGAGAAGGAAACAGAAAAGTCATCCAAAAATTAATTGATTAAATTCATTAATTAATTATGAATGAGCATGATCACACTAGATGACACCAAATCCAACTTGCATGGTTTCAGGCAAAAAAAATTTATTTGTAGGGTAAAAGCTAACACTACACATTGTCGTTAACAACCTCCCCATGACGAAACATAGTGGTGGCGGCATCATGATGTGGGGTTCTGGTCTTTAACCAGAAAAAAGAAGATAAATTAAGAAAATCAAACTTGTCAGAGGCTTAAAACCAGGGACAGGGGTTAATTTTCAATCCAGCAGGAAAATGACTATATTTTCAAAAAAGGGGGTTCTACTGACATATGGGGGATGGGATACAGCTGCATTTTTCCCTTTAAAGTTTTTAGATGTGAAAACTATAGACTATTTTCTCATCTTGTCTGGAACTACTGCATAGAATCCCCAGAAAATACACTCAAGTTTGCAGATGCAACATGACAAAACTGGTAAACGTTTAAAGGATGCATGATTCTTCAGCTCACTGTCTACTTGGCTTTAAGGTGCTGACGATACAGCACCTTTTGGGGGAATGTGACAGAAGGTTTCAGTGCTACCAACACACAAACGTCCTCAGGGCAAATTGAATCAACCTTTGCAGACTTTGCGTCTGCCGCTAGTCCTTCAGGCCTCAGCAGGACTGTTTTGATGCTCACACCTGTAGACATGCAGGACGTGTGAGGCACGTTTGGGCTAAATATAGAACAAGCTGCTGTCTCACACCCCACCACTCCCTGTGCTTCTTACTGTAACTACCTGAACAAACTGTTTCTTTCTGGGTGATGCTCAGTAATGAATGCTTTAGATCCCAAACTCACCGGAGTTGGCAGAAACTGGTGCAGGTCTTGTCATCGAGCCTGGCACAGGTGCAGCGCCCGGCAAACCTTTTACGCCGCCGCAAACCCCCACCTAGGCCATAAATCGTTGTCTTACTGTGGAATAAAATGCAACCTCAGTGGCATAAACATACCGCAGACTTTGCTCTCTGTCATCCAGCAGCTGCATGTTAAATGACAAGGCAATAATGATAGGAGGGTCATTCAGAGGTTTTCAGAGAAGCAATAGACTGTAGAGGCATTTTATTCATTCTAGACAAGCTAAGTCACCGCAAAGAGTTCCGGGGTTGCTCTGAATTATTGCAAAGTATAGCAATCTATTTTAACATATAATATAAAACTGCATTAGGTATTTAATGTACCCACCTGGGTGTATTGACCCAGATGATGTCTAGGTGGCAGAAGTAGTGGCATTCAGAATCCAACAGGTTGCTGCAGGCGCAGCGCTTGGCCCTCACCGGGTGAGTCCCTAGACTGTCAACAGCTTCTGGCTCTGGCTGCCTCAGCACTGGGAAACCAAAACCTGAATGGTCCAGAAAAAAAATAAAAATAACAGACTTTGCAAATACAGCTTCATCCCCAAATTGCACTTCCATTATATGCATGTTTATTTTTTTTTACATTCAATTTCATTTTATTACAAGTGCTATGAAAAGCAATTTGGGATTTGATGCAAAATAAAAATAAAAAAGATTAGACACTAGAAATACTGAGTGTGAATTTTATAAAATAAAAATATCAGCTTGAATTAAATCCTGCCAACATAACAAAATAAAAATCAGAAACCAGGAATAAAAATGGAAATTTAGAACTTATGTTTGTTTCTTAGGCATGTATTTAAATTTCCTGAAGAGGCTGTCATATTTTGCCTAGGAGTAAAAATTGATTCACATATTGATCGAGAAAGTTTTGACTTTTAAAGGAGTGGCAGAAATAAAATAAATTAACAGAAAAAAGCAGAATCATAATAGATCATTTTCATGTGAGGATTTTTTAAGTTTAACTGCTGCTCTTTAGCTCTGAGGAAAGTGTGGTTAATTGTTAATAAGATTGATGCCTATTTACGTCAAACCACATACATAAAAACTAAATTGCTTTCAAATATATTTTTTTATGAAATATTTTCTAAACTTAAAAATAGAATTTAAGGCTGAAAACTTACCTTCCTGAACTGAGGCCCAAAGAGTAACCAGAAGGAGAAGGTTACTATGAGTAGGCATGGTTGATACGATGTAGGTGAGGCTCATCAGAGACTTGTTGCTTCTGCTCCTGCTCTGCTTGTTTAGCAGCTGATATCTGAACTTTATGCCTCTCCTCTTTAGTGATGTCACAACAAATTCTCCCTCCCTTGCCTGTCTGTGGTAGTAAGGCAATGTGGTGACCCAGGGGCATTGAAACCTGTAAAAAATTCCAGAAATGTCTGCTCTATTAAAGCCTTTGTGAGGCACAGGTTAATGTCAATTGCCTGGTGACATTTCAGGCTGTAGGCTGCCTCTGATTAAGGAATTATCAGGCTGGAGGGAAACGTGGGAAAAATATGAGATTAGAGTCCACTGATATGATCTGAAAGTGATGTGGAAGCACCACAAGGAAAGATACCAGTGACCAGTGGAACCGGGTGTGGGAAGAGATTAGAGCAAAGAAGTAGGACTTGCTGGAACAGAAAAATTTCAAATTAGGGACTTTCTGGGACAGGAGGACCAAATAATGGAAAAATAACGAGACCTTATTGGTAAAATGTAATCAAGTTAATATTACTCGAACTTTTTAATTTAGCACGAGACAATAGAAGAAATGTAAACATTCTAAAACTATAAAAAATAATGTAGTCATTTCAGCTTTATTTTATAGTACCTTAAAAACTATGAGAATTTTTTTAAATTGTAAAAAAAAGAAAAAAACATATATTAAAATAATAAAATAATAAATTTTATAATATATTTCTTGGAACAACTGAAAACAAATATATCCTTATAATATTAGAACAATTATATGCTCTATTTTAGGGAAAAAGGGCAAATTTTACTTTTGTAACCAGCTTCAATATTAACTCTATATCATTTACTGAAGAACATTACATGTATACAGCAGTTATATACTGAGCTAATGTTTAACTACTTACTTAACTATTTACATTGGTTCTTGTTGGATAACAGCTAATTTAATGGTGATTTAAATGTTAGAAAGTGCTTCAAAGACCCATTTGTCACAATTAACTGCTTCAATCAACTGTTTTAATTCATCAAACATGAAAAACAAAAATCCGGACTGTTTTGCTTTGGCGCCACTGTAAGGCAAGTAGCCTGTTTACGTCACCCCATATTACCTCATACTTGTATGTTGCTCATAAGTAGAGAACAACATTTGTGCTTTACACACTTGAGGCATGATTATTTTCTACACTGCATAGAAACACACGCACACACACAAAACACAACAAGTCTCCGTGTGAGGTCCAGGCATTTGGCCTCACAATGAGCAGTCGGTTCCCACTGCTTACCATTTCACCTGAAAACGGGCTCCACAATATAAGAGCACACATCCAAACACACAGTTATGTTGTTCCTGAAAGTTTAGATAAAAAAATATCAGCTCTCAGTCAAATAAAAATGAATAAGAAAAAAGCAATGATAAATAAAACAAAAAATAATGAAAATCATGACATAGATTTTCTGTAAAAAACAAAAAAACAAAAAAAACTCTACCTCACCCACTGCGGGCAGTCTCTCTTTTTTGATGTACTTATGGATCATGGATGTTTCATCCTGGACAGTGACTCTCACTCTCACTAGTCCTCGGCCTCCTTTCTTGCGGCTGCCGTACAGTCTCAGGGTGCTGGATTTGGGGGGCTGAATGTGGCTTGTATCTCATCCTTTGGCCAGCTTATTATTCCTGCAGGGCATCTGATTACTGGTAGAGCATAGCTAATTATTACCCAAGACTAATTCTTGCCATTGAGCTGGCTTTTTAGGACCTGCCTCACTCATTGGAGGTATTTGGCCATAAGCGCTTTCCTTGTCACACACACACACACACACACCCACATATATATATATATATATATATATATATATATATATATATATATATATATATATAAATTTTGTTGAGCAACACTTTAATTTACTCACTGAAATAAAGTGTAAAATTCATGAAATGTTCAGTCAGATTTCTGCACCTGTTTCTTATTTTATATACATTTTTTTCAAAGTAAATTTCAAAATCAATGTTTTATTTAGTAAAAATATAAGTTATGATTCATTTTCTATGATTACGATTTTTGTTTTTTTTTGTTATTTTATCATTTTCTTCAAGAACAGAGTATAGATCTATCTATCTATCTATGGCTGGAACCTGGTGTAGGAAGATAAAGGAAAAACGCAGGACATGCTGAAGGCATAAATGGAAAAAAAGCATGCATGTTGCATGTGTTGTGTGCTGAATTGTAGACACAAATTACTCAGGGCCCTCTTTAAAGATCTGATCCGCACGTACAAATATGTTCACACCTGTTCTAAGACACAAACCTTCAGAAGATAAGGACCTTGGTGGATTTTAAGAGAGAATGTACAAGCTGCAAAGTAAAGGAGGCCTGATTGGCAGTTAATGTGCAAGAACAATCCGGTGTCTGCCTCAGGGAGTCTGCTACTCTTTAAGCTCCTCCTGATTGGACTTGAGCTCCAGCTGTGACGAGGCACCCGCTGGTCACAGGCAAAAACAAATACACAAACATCTCAGAGCTTTACTGTCTCTATGAGGACTTTGCATGACATCCATTCATTTCTATGGCCTGACCCAGACCCTAATGCTAACTCGACCCATTAGTATGAAAAGAGCTCAATGACCCCACTTTTCCCAAATGACTTTACTTTGCTGGTAAAATAAAAAATATGGTTCTCTCTCAAGGATCATGTGTTACTTCCCATAGACTTTAACTGATTTTCAGTCATTTTTAACCATTTCTATGCACTAACCCTGACAATAAACCTCACCATTACAAGGGCAGACGTACCTCACCCAAAACGTAACCTGATTTACACATTAGCAATAAACCTAACAGCAAAATATCTCATGAGGACCAGTCAAAATGTTCTAACTATGTAAAAATGTCCTCACTACAAAGGTCAAAAACAGACACAGGTATTTACTTTTATTCTATAACAAGAGCACACATTTAACCACATGCACATATCCCTGTGGATGACAAGTTGTGGAAATCTTAAATTTACATTTTATTGATCAGTCTCTTCCAAGTAGATCTTAGTGAAAATTAAACAAAAAAATTATGAAAATGTCTGAAAACATAATATTATTTACTTTGTGTCACTATGAGTTTTTCAATTTTAACTTAAAAAATAAAGTGTTGATAAGTATATTACTTTTAAACTCTGTAAATTAAGAGCTTACAAATCACAATATAATAAGGAATTTTGCTATACAAACTGAAACCAGTTGACCCATACAGAGTAACCAGAAAAGCTGACTAATCCTTGCAGGCATCAGATAGGCTGGTCAGGTTCCACCCACATCACCTGCCAAGAGAGTGCAGCCACAGCGTATGGATGCAGATAGGCAAAAAATAGCCTTCATACACGGAAATACTGTACATACCTGTGCAGATGTAACATTTAGATTTAGATTTGAGAATGGATGAAAAGATGGTCATGCAACTAAAATCAAAATGAATTTGTTTTCTGTAGGGGGAGAGAACATTTTTCATAAAACCTGACACCTCTAAAGAAAAAGTGAAGCTCTGAAATGAACAAAGAAAAACAAAAATGATTTTGACCAAAATGCTGCATTTTCTCATATTTTTCTTAGTAGGTTATGCTGTCACTAGGCTTTACATTCAGAAATATGCCTATGTTCAGCTTAACAACGCTTTGAATTGTTTCCCGTATTAAATATATAAGCCTTCTGAGAGTCTCTTTTGTCTCTCTTATGTAATATTGTGTAAAGTTGTTGGTTTTACACAATTCTTGGTCCTCTGTCAAAAATAAATGCGTATATTAAAAGGCACGCTGGTATGAAATGAATAGTTATAGACTTTTAATTAACGCCCCCCAATAAATCATTGTTTCATTGATATTAGTAATGTAATCCTTGTTTTAAAATACTCTGTTGAGATAATGAAACATTGAACTGGTTCATACATTTATGCCAAAGTCGAGACTCTAAATGCTGGTATTGATCCCACTGTTCCATGAAATCGACATGAGGCTATGGTACAGTTGGTTTCAGGGGTCAAGCTGTTCAATGAGTAAATAAAGACTGAATACATCCTTAGAAAGCTTTAGAGGATCTTAAAGTTCTTCTGAGTGTAGGGGAACAGGCTGCACTGCCCCCTATTGCACAGAGAGAGTGCAATTAGTCTTTTTTCCTGGCAATTATTAAATTCAATTCAGTTTATTTATATAATGCCAGTTCACAACACATCTCAACACAACACAAGTCATCTTAAGGTACCTTACAGTTCACCAGATCATACAGCACAATCATACTGTATGATTATACTGATCATACAGTAGATAATACAATTATGGAAATCTGGCCTGTACAAACAGGACAAACGTTGACACAATTTTCTAGCATTAATTATCCCCGTTATTACAATAAACATTTTTATAAGTAAATGGTATCAATATAGTAACAATCTATATAACATAATTAACCATTAAATTGTTTGTCACGTCGTGCATGCAAAAAACAAAGTGCTCTTCCGATTCTAAATATTACACTATGACACATTATATATATAAAACAAATTCATTCATTGAATACTCTATTTGAATATAAGGCTGTTCTTTGCTGTTCCTGTATCATGTTCCTTCATCATTCGTGGGTTTGACAATAAGAACACTATCATGGGTAGAAAATAAAGCTCAACTACTGTGCCAAATGTTTTCAGTTTTAGCCCTCTGATGTCATTATACAACAGAAATGCAAGTCAAACAGCCTATCAAAAGAAACACTTCAATTAAAAACAAAGTGAGAATATATAGCAAAGAGCTAACTACATAAAAAAAAACATATAAAGTGTGTATATTTTCATGCACCACACAGCACATGTAAGGCAATTTTTTTTGGTCATTTATTTGAGGTGGTCTGTGCTTGTACAGTAGCTAAAGTCACGCAAAGGATTGTGCGATTTTTTATAGCTCCTTAGCACCAGATAGCAACATCACAATGTTACTTTGAAAAAGGACCTATTATAGGAAAGTTTTTTTTTTTCTACCTCCTTCCTTACTAACAGAACTATTTGGAATGTACTTATGATGGCGACCGCTGACACATTTCTTCTTTAGCTAAAGAATCCTTATATGTTTTCAGATCAGGCCAAAAAAAACCAAAAAAAAAAACAGAACCA